ATGATTCTCCGGGAAGCATTTTGAAGCTTTTGAACTTCTCAAGCAGGACTTCTATCTTCTGCTTTCTCAAGTCCTCTGAACCCTCACATAGCTTCCCAAGACCTTGCCATATCTCCATGGCAGTCTTGAGGTGCTTAATTTTGGAGAAGGTGATGGGGTCAAGTGTCTTGAAGATGGCTGCTTTGGCGACGTTATCCAGGTTGTGCTTTTTGCAATCTCTATCATCCCATTTTTCCTTGGGCTTTGGAATGTACTGGACTACGTCTAGTGTCTTATTCGGCTTTTGCTTTCTGTTGGAATTAGTAGACTCCTTTGGATATCAAAAAAATAATTTATTAGGGCTTAGCCTAGAAGATATGATGCACAATGCACAATTGAGGAAAGGGTATGTGCGGTCCCAACATGTGGTATCGAAGCCTAAGTTCTGAGCGGGCGTGGGCAATGGACTGCGCAGTGTGAAAAAAGTCTTGGTTTGGTGGTCCCAAAGTGGTGGAATACAAAGTCTAGAGGGGGGGTGAATAGACTTTGTTACAGATTTAAAATCTTTTTTTTTTCGTTTCTTTTGAAAACGTGAAGATGAGTGTTAATCTAGAGTCCTTGTGAACTTTAGATTGTGTGCGGAATTTGGTGGGTGGAGTGAGCAGTAATCAATATGGATAGGTTAGTTTTCACAGTTAATATAATAGCAAGTAAGAATAGAGATAAGAGAGAGAGACACGCAAACTTTAACGAGGTTCGAAGGTGGGGTAATCCTTCTACGTCCTCAAAATCCACTATGTAGTTGGTTGTTGAATAATGAACCAACAGTCACACTTGTGTGAATTTCTGCACGGTATATCTTCACAAGACCAATGTTGCTACTGCACTCGTGCTGGCTTTGTTGTTCATTCGAAGCTCAAGCTTCTTCAACAACTGCAAGATCCGAACAATAGGACTTGCAAGATCAACTTGTAAGAGAGTTGACCTACCCCCTTTTAATCAATAAGTTTGATCAAAAGTAATATCCTTCAACGTGGTGTGGTGCTTGAGGCAAGGAAACCTTCAAGTGTTTACACTATAGCTTTTTGGAAGGAGGAGAAGTTTGCTTCTGGATA